GGCTCATGCATGAAAATGAGCTTTGTAGAGGAGTCTACGGGGTTATGTTTGCAGCCGTATCCACCCGAACCCAACATAAGATTACATGTGTTAAAGGATATGGCATCCATCTAATGTCAAACTTTACAATCACGTTTGCTGACTCGACTTTTTGTATAGCTACCCTTACTGATTTATAAATATCACCTTCAGTTTTGACGGAACATCGATCTTGATGGTGAGATAGGTGGTGTTGTTTGAAAAGTCACGGTGCAGGTTTGGAGTCTACTTTTAGAGGGGGAGCGTAATTTTAATGGTCAATCATTTTGATTTAAAAACTCTGTTACATACTCCTCCTATGTGTCATGCTAGCAAATATACCAATTTGGTTAGGATAACCATTTGGTTTCTTATCTTTCTTGAAATAAAAAGACCTTCATAATTGGAAGAACCTTATAGAGTTCCCCCTTTATTGGTAACGATTTTTGTGACGATAAGAAATTTAGTTAAAACAATAAGAATTAAGCAGAATTGAACAAGGTAAAAGCAGCGAAATCTCCGAAATGAAGTAGGGATGTCAAAGAAAGTGGGTGTATGCAGGGCAGTGGAGACAAAGAATTAATTGTAGATCTGTGAGGACTTCCAAGTTCATGATGCTCGGGGAGACGTAGTTAAAACCTTATTCTCTCTTCCTTTCACCGCACTTGACTCGAACCTAAAAGGATCATTGTACTGATTCCTCGTATCAAAAGACATCCCTTTTGAAATAAAACACAACTCTCTATCATTGTTCGGCACGTCCTTCCTTTTGGTTCCTTCCACTGGATTCAGTTCTTTCATTTAAGACTTTTCTACACATTTGTAGAGGATCTTTCTCCATATGATTTTATATTACACGTTTTCAGTTTGAAGTGTCAGGGACTGACTTTACCTCCTAAAACACTAGACTATTACATAATGCAATGAACCTTACCGCTAGAGGTCCATGCGCTTTGTTTCCGTTTCTTAAATTTCTAACATCACATATATTTAAGTGAAATTATGACACTGATGCTAAATAAATTTTTTTTGTGGTTTTTTAGCTGGCGGATGTGTGGTCATGTGGTGTTACCTTGTACGTGATGCTGGTTGGTGCCTATCCTTTTGAGGACCAAGATGACCCAAAGAATTTCCGCAAGACCATTGGAGTAAAGCCTCTATCTGCCTTTTATTCATTTCTAGACTTACTATTAATCAATCTTTCTGTCTAATCTCGCAATGGATTGTGGATCAGTTTTCCGCATAACAGATACTTTGCATTTGCATGTATCCACCTCGTTATGATGACCCTTTTCATTTGTTTGCGTGATTGGATTGCAGAGAATAATGTCAGTCCAGTACAAAATACCAGACTATGTTCGCATATCCCAGGACTGCAGGCAACTACTATCCCGTATTTTTGTTGCCAACCCAATGAGGGTAAACCTCTAACCCAATATCAGTGTCGTATAAACTGTCTCTCAGGACGAAGGAAATCGTTTATCAGCTTGCTAAAATCCGATATTTTTCTCTCTATTTGCTGCATTCAGAGAATTTCAATTAGAGAAATAAGGAACCATCCTTGGTTCTTGAAAAACCTGCCGAGGGAGCTAACAGAAGTTGCCCAGGCCGCATACTATAAAAGGGATCAAAGTGCTCCAACCTTCTCCCTTCAGAGCATCGAAGATATCATGAAAATTGTGGGAGAAGCTAGGACTCGTCCACCGATATCCAAGTCCATTTCTGGATATGGATGGGCCCAAGAGGAAGAAGACGAAGAAGAGGGAGACGCGAAGGAGGAAGAAGAGGGAGAGGAGCCCAATCAGGAGGAAGAGGAGGAAGAAGATGAATATGATAAGAGAGTCAAGGAAGTTCATGCCAGCGGTGAATATAAGATAAGTTGAAGGACCGAGATTGTCAATATATAGTGCTTTTCATTGCCTCATCTGTTGCTAGTTACCGAAGCGTCTAGGTTTTCCCTCTGGGGATCTTTTGGTTTGAAAGTGATGTGTATTTCTATAATTTTGTATAATTATGAATATCAAATGCATAAATCTTTGTCTTCAAGTTATCAATTTGACTCCTAGGTAGGAGTTATTTTTGGAAGAGTCATGAGTAGTCCTGTCATTGTGTAGTTAATGATACCCAAGCACAAAGCTACATTATGTATGCATGCATGTGTATATGTATGTGTTTAGTGTCTTTTATGAAGTTTTTGTATAATTATGATATTGAAAGCGTGTTGTAAACGATAACCAAGTGTAAAGATCTCCTTCTATAGTGTTGGTTATCTAGTTTACTGAAAATTTTGATGTAATGTTTGCTAACATTTCAATTTTTCTTCAAAATATATGTACTAGTATTGAAAGAAAATTCTGGTGTTTTTATACACGGAAAATGCAACCGCCTCTTCTTGCCAAGAGGAAACTGATTATAAGATCCAGGTAAGAGTTTGCATGTCGAACTATTGTATTTATTTTAGCTTCAATAGTTTAATACAAGTTTAAAAAAGTTTTAAGTTTTTTTTCAAAGAGGTATTATGAAAATTTAAATGTTGGAGCTGCTGATGTGATATTGCATTCTTTTACTTGTCATAAGGTATGCTGATTGTTTATTTTCCTTCCCTCCATTTTTGTTACAGGTCTTTCCTTGTGGGGTCCACAAGTCTGTTGTTCCTACAGACATATATAAAACGGTGACAGTTAGTTTCCTTCTCTCAACAAAGAACCATTAGCAAATATAGAACAGAGAACTTCAATATCAAACACGCAGAGAGAGAGAGAGAGAAACTTCCGCAGTCAAGAAATTTCCTGGTAATTACTTATTTTCTCGCAAGAATTTACCTGTTTATTGGGGTTTTGAAATATTATTTTTTAGAAATACTTGGATTATTCATGGTTTATAAGGAGGTTCTTTTTCTTTTCTAATGACCATACTTATTTGTGTTTCTATTCTCTCCTTAATCTGAGAATTCAGGCAATATAGTGGTAATTATTTCTTGAAATGTGATCATATAAACATTGTTCGTTTTAGTTATTAATTTGCTCTTAGAAAGTTTAGATTTTCATGATTTTTTATCCCTCATTTTAAATTCTTGATTTTTGAGCTTTTGCTTGAGAGCTATTTTCTTGAAAATCTACCATATAGGTAGCGCATTCTAAACAAAGAAAAGCCTCATGAACAAATCATAAACCAAATTGCTCATTCTGATCCTGCTGTGCATTTTGGATCTTAGTGACATTCTTGAATTGATCTGAGAAAATGTCTAAACATTTCATCAAAGTAGAATTGCATCCAAGTATTTTATTGTTTTGAGGTATTTGATATTTGACGCATTGTGCTTTGTTCATCATATTTATTCAATTTCTTTCTTGTTCTTGTTCTTGTTCTTGTTCTTCCTTTTTTCTTTTTTCTCTTTTGGAGTAAAATTGCAATTCTTTTTTCAGATTCAATACACCAGAGTTGGTTATAGTTTCGAACAAATCTTGGAAATTTTCCTGAAAAGCATGGTTTGGTACACTTTCAAACCTGATCCAGGTAGCGGAACTTCTAGTATAATTTTTTATTTTCTTGTTTTTCTTTTTTTCTTAAATAAATTTGAAAAATGGAGGTGTACATAAAAGTACTCAATCAAATGCTTTTATTCTGATAACTGATATGTATCTGTCTAGTTTCATTTCAGAATGTTGTTTGTATAATTTAAGAAAAATTCACATCCTTTTTATCTAATATATTTGCTAAGTTTCCAGAGGTTTTGTCCAATCTGGTGCATGCGTTACAAGTTAAAGGTGTTAAGGTAAGTTCATTGCTGCACTTTGTCATACCATATAATTAATACCTATGGAGTATTCTTTTTTTTTGCAACTTTTTGAGGGTTTTTTTTTTTTTTGGCAAAATTTCTAGGAGTATTCTTTCTACTAATTGTTTCAACCAAGAGTCTACATAAATCCAAGAAACAAAAATGACACACAAAATTGAAGTGAAAATTTGAGTGAAAATCTGTTGTTGTACATACACCCCCTTAGAGATTCAAAAAAAAATCATTTTAGGGGCCTATCTACAACAAAATAACTACAAGGGTAGTGAGTTCAATTCGGAGATACTACAGGTGTTCTGTCTGCAATTGACCCTTGAAAAACAACCAGTATTCACTTAATTTTGCTTTTCTATTTATCACAATTGTATACAAAGTGCGGCCATGACCTGATTACAAGCTCAATCAAAAATAGGATTAGTCCTCACCAATTTTATTGTGCCTTGTTCATGTTAATCACAATTGCTAGCAAAGGGCTTATATTTCATCAGTTTATTACAAAATTTGCAAAGAACTTCTGAGAATCATAGAGAAGTACATAATTTATCAACTCTTTATGCATACTTGTCGCCGTTTTGGAGAATGGATTGAAGGATTCACAATGCTTCCATTTCTCTTCAGTATGTACACTGTTTCCCTAAGCATTTTATATAGGAATTACCTTGAAAATTTTGAGACCTTGTGAAATTAGAAAAGATGTCAAGCACCAAATTTCTTATTACCTCGTGAGCTGTTTGCCTGTGGATGGAGGTATACATGAGCTCGACAGCGGACACGGGCAATTTTGAACTGAAGGCATATATATATGTTTGGATAGCAATGAATTTCCTAGAATATAGAAACATTCTTACTATTGGAATTAAAGTATATCGTCATGTTCTAATGTTCTATAGTATAAATAAAATGTTCCAGTAAAGCAATCCGACAGCTGGAGTAGCTCAGTTGGTTAGAGCGTGTGGCTGTTAACCACAAGGTCGAAGGTTCAAGCCCTTCCTCTAGCGAACGTATAAGATTCTCCCTTTTTTCTTCTTTTTGCATTTATTTTCCAAATTTTGCTTCTCTGCTTTACACTTGTAAAATAAATACTCATCAGCCATTTTACGATCATAGAGCCTCGAAACTTTGATATCTGGCCATGAAAACTAGAGTATATAGTTGATTAAAATAAAATATTAATTTCTCCTCTCTTTCTGTTCACTAAAATGTTCATGTCGCCATAGCTACAAATTTTTTGATCGTCTCCCTTTCCTTAGTTGTGAAGCAATACTTCACCTATTTGTTTCGGTGATTTAAGAACTTTGGATCCTTAGCTCAACGCAAGGCAGAAAGGTTTGCTAATGAGCGCGTATCGGTCCATGGCTAGGATTCACTAAATATACGTCAACCATATCAAATTTGATCACAACACAATCTAAATTCGATCAAAGCACAATTCCCATGCTCTGTTTCGTACATATCAGTCGTCGAGAAGCTCAGGACAAGAGATTAGAGCTGTTGAAGAGCCGACATCATTGATAAGGCAGATGATAATACGCGTTTCTAATTTTATACTGTTTAGAGTGATGTAACCAAATTAGTCACAATTTTCTGCTACGGCAATACAATGATTGCATGCCGTACATTCGCTGCATTCAGGTTTGTGGTATTATGAACATATGCTGAAATGTCAAACAGAATGATAACGCTGGATATGTCACTAAACTATAAGTGTTTACTCTCTTACGTTACGAAAGAAACTAAAACTATCGAGTTCCATATAGTAAAACCTTGCAACATAAGTATGTGTGTGTATGTGCGTGTGTGTGTATATATATATACATATAATTTTTCCAACTGACCATTTCAAATTCTCATATTCTGAAACTATCCCTTCTTTTTCGAGTCCGATGTTAGCAGAGAAATTAAATAGCAAGCACAGTCAACTTTCATCAGTCAATGGCAGTTTTAGCAAAAGTCAGGCTAGTGGTGATATGAACGTCATCAACCCTCTGAAATTGATGAGACCTTGTTCCTAATCATGTCTTCAGCAGCATTAACAGCTTCATGTGATCCTGTAATTGTCACTTTCCTGTTTGATAGCCATTATATTGATGAGAAAATATGGGCATTGCTGGAAATATCGACTCTGTGCAAGAGCACTGTATGTTTACCTATTAGATGTGCCTGGCATGAAATCATTTCTGTCTGATATCTTGATTCTGGCTCCACTAATCTGCACAATGAATAACCCACCCCTTTCCAATAAAAAGGAGAAAAAAAACGGAACGACTATGGGTACTATTACGGAAATTACGCATAATTCAGTGGCCTATCCAATCAGTAAAAAATGACACTGATAAATTCAGAAGCACAATTTATGAACCAAGATAAGCCTACTAACTTAAAACTAGCCGACAGAATCAAAATATCCAAGTTAATCAGAAGAAGGTGTGGGCTTCATCTATGATTCTCTTTGCGGAAGTCCATTACAATATTGTACTAGCAATAGTGTAATGAACAACTTAGGTGCCTAGCGTGTTTTCCTGGGTCAAAAGGAACCAAATTCAGATACGCCAAAACACAGCTGAATTAATTTTATGAATTATGAGCATAAGAAGTCAGCAACTAGAACCAGAATTATACTGTTTTATCAAATTATGTTTGGACTCAAACCCTACAAGTTAATTTTTCATAGCGGCTCCATCTAATATCAAAATCTTATCAGTCAATATACCACATACGTACTGAACTTAGCTACAGAGAATCTATATTGTTGGTTGTAGGTTGCATTGCATCAGGTGGATTTTTGAAACATTGAGTTGTATCCAAACCCGAATCTTGGATGATTGCTGCAAGCCTGCAAGTACCTTCACATAAGAAGAGCCTTTGGAGTTCAAGCAGGTTTTAAGGAGTATGGGGGCCTACAAGCTTTTCAGAACCCAAAATTTATAAACTGGCTTTGGCTTTCAAGCATATTCAGGTCCACCATGGTGTTTTTATACTGTGATAGAAGGATACATTGCGGTTTCTCCATACAAACTGAGTAGGCAAATGTGATATAGAGGATTTAATGAGAAAGCGGGTATACTCCTTTGCATATGTTATATGACATAACATGTCTGATAAGATATCTTTATCATATTGTACAATGTTGAATCCGTATATTTCATCCACAAATATATTAAAGAACAGAAGAGTGATTGGTTTATGAAAGTATGGGACCTTTAGCACACAGAAGAATTATGATGTCAAAACTCGTAAATTCCTTCACATATATATTGATAATTGATAAGGGAACCAATTGTCCAAAAAAGTGATAATGATATTGTTGAACTGCACTAACTTTGATGGGACAATGTTACACATGCAAAATTTTATATCTTGGAAAGTACACATATCCTTTTTTACAATTGAAACATTAAGGAAAATCAATAGTTAAATAATATGGTGAGAGGGTGTTTTATTATAGGGTTTTTACATGAAAACCATCTTCACTTTTGTCCAAATTGATACTTACCACCTTACCTTTTTTTTATTTATCAAAACCACTTTTACTTGCCTACATGTTTGCAATGCTACGCCAAATCGATTTTTCAACTCAAAAGAGGCGTGAACTTTCCATTTTACTCCCAACCTAAAGAACGTGCAAAGCACGTGTGTGCTAACTAATTATAAACTTAAGGGTTTTTTCAGATATTAGCCTTCAAAATATTTCACATTTTGCAATTAGCACGCACACACACAAAAAGAAAAAAAAGTCTCCCCCCACCCTTCTCTCTCTTTCTCTCTCTCACAAAAAAATAGCCATGGATTCCCAGACCCATTCCCCAAACCCTAGCCCAATCCCCAGACTATAATTCCCAATTCCAAATCCTAACCTTACCTCCCCTCAATCCTCCCTCCCTCTTGCCGTCCAATCGAAGAAAACCCTCCCTCAATCCTCCCCCAAACCCTAACCTCACCTCCCCTTAATCTTGTCTCCCTCTTGCCCTCTAATCCAATCCCCCCCCCCCCCCGGAAAACCTAGCTAAGGAGCAAAAGATTGATGATATCGGCCTCCCATAACCCTCTCTGGTGAGGACGACATCGATTTGGGGGACTAATTTCAAAATATGATAGATTTTGGGGGTTACTATCAAAATATGAAAGCTTTGGGAGACTATTATTAAAAAACCCTAATTTTTTATAATTAATTGGGACATAAATGTTTTGCACATGCTTGGGTGAGGATATTGTTAGAAGTTTGTCTCTTTTTTGAGCTGAAAAATCGATTTGGCATGACATTGCAAACATGTATGCAAGTAAAGTGGCTTTGATTAAAAAACAAAAGAGGAAGGTAGTAAGTATCAATTTGGATAAAACTTAAGGCAGTTTTCATGTAAAAACTCTTTATTAGATAAAGCATTGCATATGTCTCTAGTTACATATCTCACAAATTCTTCTAGTCAAATCTGTTGAAGCTTTAGACTATATCGTATACGAGAGCAGACTGAAAACCGGTAATCACAATACAAACCTGAATAATCTCCATAATAGTTCTCCCCCCTCGACCGAGAACAAAACCTATATGTTCATCTGCGACACCAATTGTCACAGAAATTCCTTCGCCTTCAGAACCCCCAGGAGATGACCTTGTCGAAATCAGAGGTGGCATCATGCCCTGACAGAGAAATTTGACTAATCAATAAAATTGCCAACACTAATACTCCTCAAGAAAACCAAATGTCATTCATGTTTGTAACATCCAGCGGTCAAGAAAACCAAATGTCATTCATGTTTGTAACATCCAGCGGTCTCTAAAGTTTGTATAAAATAAAATTTATCTAGAATCTTGGACCAATCACAAGGAGTACAAGCATTTTCAAAGTGTCGAAAATGCATATGCTCCTTATAATGACCAGGTGGCATCAGGAGTTCTCTATCCTCTGAAAAAGATTGGAGCTACTTGAAGAAGAAGTCAGCTTAATTCCTAACTATTTTATATTGTCATTACATGAAAACAGGAACTAAAACTGATTCAATGAGCAATGTGCATGCATTTTTCATATGCAATAATAATGATGATGATGATGATGATGATGATGATAATTTAATTAATTAAAAGAAATCTGTAACAGACTAGAAGAAACAATTGCTGTCATAATAAATATTAAATTAAACTTGACCTTATTGCTACGGTACTTTCCAACACCATTAGGCACATAATTCGCTCTGCTGTATGGCACTGAAGGAACAGTATAGCCCAATGGAGTACCATGACCTCCATTAAGGATAAGGCCTAAGCACACAAAATAAAGCAGAAAACATCAGTAACCATATTCCGACTATTATTTACCATATGACATGAAGTAACCTAAGAGAAAGGTTCAAATTACATGAATTTGCACTCTAGCTGAGATATAAATTCATGGCACTTTCAACAGAAAGAATTTATCATATTAATCAGTTCCTAACAGATAAACTTTTCAAGTCATTTTGCAACTCACATATGAAAAGGGTAATGTCAAAAAGTAGACAAAAGAAAGAAATAATATACAAAGTTAGCTCACAAAGACGCACCACATCAGACACCTACATAACCATGAATCTTTTAATAAATCCATCACATAAAAAATGGAATCCGCAAGAAGGGAATAAAGCTATGCTCTATCTATCTAGAATGAATAAAAAAATAAAAACAATACAAAGTTGCAGGCAAAAAAAATTGAAGTCACTGAGTTATCACAGAAAGCATGTATTGCATGTCAGGGAGACAATAAAAAGAAAGTTCTGAACTAGTGCACAGAACTAGAAGTATCCATATCTATATCCCCTGGGAAACTATATATCCTGCCAATATAAACTCAGTCCACTACCTAATAATTTGCGCAGGCTGCCACTATATCTTTAGACAATGCATAATCTGCCTTCTAATCCTAGAGCATGTTCGGCTGCTACTAATTTTTTGAATCCTTATAAGTTACTTATTACTTATTCTCAAAACTCCTTATAAGTATGTAAGAAAATAAGAAAGTTGTTTGGTAAACCCTTTTAACTTATAAGGATATACAAGTAGTTACATGTTTGATACTAATAACTTATAGAGCTGTGTTAAATGTCATATGACTAAAAAGAACATATTGTTGTAACTCCATATTGTGACTAATGACTTCATTTTATATTAACCAGATAATTAATAATATTAAAAATTTTACTTATTTAAAAAATTAATTAATTTAAATTTAATTATTTCAAATGAATTATGATTATTAAATATTGATATTAGTTAATTAATTTCATTGTAATGAAATATTATTATTAATAAAATTAATTAATTAATCAAAAATTAGTTATCTCATAATAAGAAATATATTTGATTAAAATATTTTTATATATTACATTATTTGTGATTATTAATTACTAATCTTGATATTTATTAATTAAATTCATATTAGTAAGATATTATTATTATTAAAATAATTAATTAATTATAACAATAAATATATTTGATTAAAATATTTGTATATAATACATTATTTGTGATTATTAATTACTAATATTGTGATTAATTAACTAATTTCATATTAATAAAATATTATTATTAATAAAAATATTTAATTAATATATAAAAATTAGTTATCACATAGTAAGAAATATATTTTATAAAAATATTTTTCATATATTACACTATTTGTGATTATTAATAAGTAATTTTGAGATTAATTAATATCATACAAATACAATAATAATTACTAATAGGTAATAAACTCATTAATTATTAATAAATTATTAATTATTAAAAAATAGTTATTAATAAATTATAAATAAATAATTATTAATAAATTATTAATAAGTAAATTAATTAATTAATAATATTAATCACTTTATAAGAAATTATTGAACTAAGCAAAGGGAATAGGAGGGTACTTTTATCTTTTGGCCAGAATAAGGAAAGTTCCTTATAAGTAGAGAAAAAATAAGTTGGAAAATCCCAACTTTTTTCCCCTACTTATAAGTAACAAATAAGAAAAATAAGTAACCCTTATCAAACATCAAATTGGCACCTTAAAAGTAAAAACACTACTTATAAGGAGAAACAAGTAAGTTGCCAAACATACTCTAGTATCTCTTAGCTTTACAAAAATGGAAGGGCCATGCATTGAATAGCAAATCCTTTTATAATACCACAATTTTCTAAGCTGAAATAGGATAATATGTACAACTACTGCAAAAGAAGAACATGCTCAAACCCTGAAAGCTACAAGAGACTTCTTACTTTAATCTTTTATTTAACTCTTAAAAGTTAAATCGATCCATATTTCAGCTAATAAAGAATCAAATCCACAAGGGACATGAATCTTTGAAATCTAATATATTAACTTCTCACTGGTACCAGAGAACCATAGATGGACATAAACACTATGTTTCTTTGGAAGTAGTTATCATCTTACTGCTGTTCAAGCTGAAAATTGTAATTGAGAATCACATATATCTTTCTTATGAAAATTCTAATGAAATATGATTGGACCTGTGCCATAGATAATATAATGTTTGCAGTACAGGAATCTGGAATATTATCGATGAATATATAACACAGTGCCACATACCTGCATAGGGATATAGACTAGCTGCCGATAATGAATAATGAGCGTCTTCCATTAACTTTGACATGATTAGATCAATTGCATACATACATTCCTCTAAAGTCCCTGTTATTGTGACTAGTCTATCATTCAGTCCAAAAAAGTTACTATCCTGAGGTGATATTTTGATCCCAGCGTGTGATTCTTCAATAAATGACCTGCATCAGGTATGATCTTGATATATCAACAATTACCAGCAAGTACTAATACAGTAACTTCATTAAAACAAAGTTAAGTAAAATATCCTACTGTGGAAATAAAAGCTAGATTCATTAAACAAACTCAATTACGTAAAGATAAAAGCTAAATTTGTTAAAGCATCCGACTCATTCAATTACGTCTCTCAATCACATGAAATGCAATGCTGTAACTTTACATATCTGATATAAATTTATGGCACAAACAAAGAAATTCTTTGGCACAAACAAAGAAAACAACAACAACAGCAAAGGTTTTATCAACAATAGCAAAGGTTTATATCAAAATTTTCTATGTGATTACATGCTTTAAGCCCCTTCACAAGAATTTGTGATATATTTATTCATGTTCTTCGCTCCAAGTGTCACACAACAAAGAGAAAGGAAATAATGGGAACCCTGTAAGAATGTAATATGTAGTGCCTAAAAACCTTCAAAAAAATCATATTTCCTCTATCTCTCCTCTTATAAATGCCTATATATCCGCACAAATATGCATATGGATAGGTGCATATTTAATTACATATCTATTTAGGCATGTACATGCATATGTGTATAATTCATACATATCTATTTAGGCATGTGAAGGCATGTGTATAATTCGTATAAATTCATGCATAAATACATACACACAGACTAAACGGACACACAAACATATATATACATATCAGAAGAAACTATGTGCTTTAATTTAAAAAAACTTTGATTCTCATGCCTGAGGAACCTCTATCAGCGTTAGTTTTTACATGCAATCTCATAGAAAACTGAATCTTACAAGTATATCTCTCATACTATCTCACCGGGAATTTGTTTTCCATTGAACTTTCAAGTTAGCAAAACTACGCATAAGATGAGGTCAATGAAATGACTAAAAGTGAGTTGCGACAAAAATGATAAATGTGACATTTAGAAGCAGGGAAAACTATTAGTATAACAATTACATACTATCAGCTTCAGACATTAAGCAAATTGCAGAAAGATATGTAACTCTCAATAGGACAACAAACATAAGGTTGCGTCAATTGCACTAAAAAATTTAAATAATGGGAAATGTTAATACTTAATGATCGATCCTCCTTTCCCAATTATCCCACCACACGAGTTGTTAGGAACAACAAGCCTCACTTTTGATATAATCTCAGCATCACTAGTTTCCCCTGCCTGCATATACCAATGAAAAGGAAGTTCATTCACAACTTAAAAAAATAGGGCGTTGGCATACATAGATAATAAAATGTTCGACTAACAAAACCTCATTCAATAATTTCTCAAGGATGAGTTCAGTTGCCTTCATAACATCATCAATAATACCAGAGACCATGATTATTCTCTCCGATGTTCCTGGAAAGAACTCGTTGTTGCGTGAGAGCTGAATACGAGCTCCAGACAGTGCCTGAAATTCTGTAATAGTTGAGCCACCCCTTCCAATTATACAACCAGCATCCATATTTGAAACCAGGATCTTAATGTAAGTCGAATTTTCATTATCATCTGGGGAAAAAGCACTCACGACATATGAGCAGATGAATCAACACATCACACTTTGTCAAGAATTGGGTGACGAATGAGCAGCAAACGGAAGCTAATGTTAATAAAGAAAACGGCCTTAAATATACAGTTTAGACTTGGCAGGTTTTCATTTTTCTCCAGGATTGATCTCAGAAGGAGTTATAAAGTAACAAAATCCAAATAACCAATGAACCAAAAGCCACAACATGGACACCAATCAAAGCCATACATAAGCAACAAACAACAATAATCAAAGAGGAAGTCATGATAAAAGAGGAAGGCGCAGAAAATCAACTAAGCATCCTCGGGGATCCTCTAGTCGCATGTCTACGATGGACATCAATCTCCTTGTATTCCGAGGGGTGGTCCCAAGTAATCTCTTCAAATCCTCCACAACCTCAATACTATAAGCCATAACCTCCTTGAGGTTTCCCACATGCTTTTTTCGGTATTCTTACCACAATTTGGCTAGTCGATGCAACAGCTTAAGTTCTTCAACTTAAGTCATACACCCATCAAATTTGTTATGGCTCGTCATTGTACCTCCCCACCCTTACCAATGAGATTTCAAGGCACTACTTAGGAAACCAGCCAACATGAACAGTTTTTTGTTTTTATTTTTTTCATTAATGTTTATGAAACTTCTGGAGTTCAAAGTTCCTACTAATTAATGGGGAAAAAATTAATTTAAGGTGAAACTCTGAACTTATACATTTAGATTTCGACTTCATAGATTCTCCAATTCTAGAGCAACAACCATAACTCGATTTAGATTCAACCGACACCAAACGCAAACACAATAATAACACTAAATCGCAACTAAAACTAGAGAAAAATTTTCATCACAACAGGAATAATTACGGAAGATTGCAACGATTAGGTCTAATCACCTCTGCCTGGGGATCGATTCGGAGGGGAAGCGCTGAATCCGTCGGTCGAATCCATGGCGGCAATTTTTATTGGAAATGGGGAAACAAGATCACCGCATTCTTCGATTTTGGATAAAAACTAGGGTTTTTTTTTCCTCTCCTTTTTTTTATTTCCGAGGTTTTTGATTCTTTTCCCCCCCTTCCCCTTCGACTCGTACCGCCTTTTAGTCATAGCGTTCCGAGCTGAGCAAGTTTTGGACTGTAGTGTTATTTTTTCAGAAAACCCCTATTATTTTTTTGTTTTAGCACAGTGATTGAAACAACTGCAAGTGAATCATTAATGAAGTAAATTACGTACCTAATTTTTTAGGTAAAAATGCTACGTAGCTGGTTAAGCTATGTAAAAACTCGTTTTCTTTTTTTTTATAATTAGCTCACTATTTTCTTATTTAAAGAATTTGGATCCTCCCCGCTATGAAAAAAATACTGTGAGATTAATTCGAAGCTTACAAATAATGGACAGCTCGTGCAAAATGGGACGTCAGCTCATATACATTTTTTCTACATATGTATGTATTTTTATATACTTATATTATACTGATATAAGTATACTCATGTAATTATATGGTATACGTATATATATTTAGATATAATATATTTATATATAACAATACTTATAACTATATTATATATACTTATAAATACTTATATATAGTATTCTTCTACATAATAATACTTATAACCACATATGTCGGCGATGGTGGGGGAGGGGGGGTCATGGGCCAGATTAGGGTCAGCTTGAGGAGGAAAGAGATTGAGTTTTAAATTGGGAAAGAATTTCTTAGGCAGTGGGCCTCTACACTGTTTGGGGGTTGGTTACACTTATGTTTCAATTTAAGGGCTTGGAGGTTATGATTTTGGGGCTGGAGAGGGGGATGCATAGGCCAACTTTTTTTGGTTCCTCCAAGCAAATTTTCTCATTTAATTAACATTATATTGCTATTTAGTCCCTCAAATACTATTACTTATTCTACATTAGCCCCTACCCCGTTATTCTGTCTAATGTTTTCAATCCGTGTTTGATCAATTGTTTTCCCCCCTGCGTGGTTGACTACATCTCCGCTCCCGGGTGAGTTGTCAACCATCCTCCGTGTCAAAATCGGTTGGTTAGGTGGAAGAGATAACTTGTTAAATATAATTTACTATAGGGTAAAGTGGAGGTTACTATAGGGTAATTAAGTGCAATTAAGCCTCATTAGGTTAGGTAACTAATTTTACTGTTGGAGATAACGTTATCCTTTTTAAACCTACTCTAATTCTAATGTTAAATATAATTTTGATAGGTTTAATGGTAAATTTAACGATTATTAAGAGTTAAAATGTGTTCTAAAATTAGCATGTGATCGCCGTATGGAAAATTGGGGGAAATTCTCATTCCCACATAATTGAGGGTATTAAAGTATAAATTTTAAAAACTTTAAGGTATGGAGTGCCGCTAAAAACAGTTGAGGGTATACAAGTGCAAAGTATAGAGGGAACTATTTGGTACTTAAGTGCAATTAAGCCTTATTAGATTGCGGGCTAGAAACAAGAGAACACACAAGGGAGTTGTTCGCAATTTTAATCCTCTCAAATGGCCATCTATGGTTCACAATTTTAATCGTCTTAAATGGTCATCTATTTACATCAGAGTTGATTATAATTTCTTCAAGATGACTAAGTTTTAGGATACAACAAAGAGCTATGTGCAGATACACCTCTAACACAAAGAGGAATAACTACCTCTTGCACTTAAATTTATGTTTAACATGTAAAAAATTGAAAAAAAAAATCAAAGGAAAAAAAGCACTGATTGTCACAGGAAGTCCGATGGAAGAGACGAAAGAATCGATGTCAGGTCCGAGCCTCGTCTCCTACCATGAGGAAGATGACAAATGCTCACAAACTACTGTCGGCTTGAATGGGAGTGGATTCTCTGTTAGAGATGTGCCTGAAATTGAAAATGTAGAGAATTTGCTGGCCATCTCCGCTAGGATGGGTTCTCGCGCACGGCCAAGACTCTCCCCCTGTTGTTTCTTGCTGAGCCCTGCAAACTTATCTGAATCTTGAAGATAGTGAGGGCCGCAGGGATCACAAGCTCATACTATCTTCATCCCCAAATAACCCTGGTTGCGTTTCGTATGGTCTGCTGTAATATGGTAAGGGTGATAGTATTCTACATGGACAGCTGAAAAGCACACCGCTCTGCTTCATCGATGCATTTTGACAAACAAATTGGTAACAATATGAAACACAGCAGCGAACATGCTGCACGCTTGCTATTATCCCGTTGAGGCATTCCTACAAACACTTGGGCACCAATGATGCTTCAAACATGATGCAGGCACGGGAGAAGAATTAAGTGGGGTAGAAGAATGGCAGGAGAGCTTGGAACAGGTCTTGGGTCTGGTCATCAGGTTTTTAAGAGAGAATATCGCCAGATTGATTTTTTTTAGGGGGACGGCGGTCAATTAACATGGTGTTTATAACTAATTAGCTACAAAAGGTTAGTTTAGTCAGTATAGCGGGTCAGTTTTCAGTGAAGGGCGGGCATGCTGAAATGAAAACTTGAGACTTGAGGGTGCCTTTGGTAATAAACAAAGATTTGAGGGGTAAATATCGAAGCAGCCCTTGTTTTAGGAATACATGGTAGATTCAAGGGTGTAGATTGAAAAAGATGTGGTTTGATTTGGAACTAACTTAAAAGTTGGAGGATTTATATATGATTAACAAAGATTGGATTGAGGGTCTAGCGTGAAAAATAAAAGTCAAACACCCAAAAGCTCAGAGAATCGCATTTAGCTTTTTAGAAGGGCTGAGAACTCCATCGAAAATACAATCGGAGATCAAAAGAGAAGGAAACGATGGGTAAAGACAAAATCCAAAAGCAAAAGAAGGTGCCAAAGAGCAGTAAGTTTATTCTCATCAACCTATGAAAAAAGTCTCTTTGATCATTCTCAGTTAATCACTCACCTCATTCTTGTAGATCCGATCTAGTTTTTTTACAAGTTTTGTGGGGAGTCCTTCAACTCCCTCAGGGAGATCTTGCTCTATGCGGGAGCACACTAGAACCTTAAGAAGCCTGAACCATGACCAATATGAGGTATGAGTTAGGTCATCAAATGTTTGTTTAACGCAGTCTATTTCCTTTTTCCACTCATTTCATCAAACACTTGGCGTGCATCAATCTGAATCCAAATCATACCTCATATTTTAACTACTTAGCCAAGTCCTAATTGACGCTGCCAAGCTTCACATCAGGATTGACTCATCTTTCAAGCACTGAAGATACATATACTTACACATGGAATATACACACAGATATTATTCTACATAAGAGTAAATATTGGAAGATGGTTCGTTCTTGAACTAGATACCAAAATGACCCTTTAACTCATGGTTTTTGGATTGAAGAAGTGAATTAGAAAAAAGAAATATAATAAAATGGGGAAGGGTTTGGATTGGAGGACAAATGTCAGACAGATCTATTGATGATAAAAACTTAAGATCATAACTTATATATATATATATATATATATATATATATATCTATATATTTGGATTTGTCTTTACCCATCGTTTCATTCTCTTTTGCTCTCCGGTTGTATTTTTGATGGAGTTCTCAGCCCTTCTAAAAAGCTAAATGTGATTCTCTGAACTCTTGGGTATTTGGCTTTTATTTCTCACGCTAGACCCCCAATCCAATCTTTGTTAATCATATATAAATCATCCAAACTTTTAAGTTAGTTTCATGCCCGCCCTTCATTTCAGTCATCCCTCCCACCTCTCACATCGATTTAGGATGTGATGTTTATCTTAGTACAACATGTATGTATCATTTTCAATAAAGAGTTTGAAATAGGAAATAAATAAATTAGATATAATTTTATAAATATGAATACAAAGTTAATATAGTTTGAAGTGGAAAAATAAAGAAAANCCCCCCCCAAGCGTTTCCCTCATCACAGAACCCCCAACCACCAAGAACCCCGCACTCGCTTCCCTCCTCAAAACAAATCACCCTTAACCTATCAAACCCTGGCAAGCCCTCAACAAACTGGAGATTACCCGTGGCGGTCACAAACCCCACTTACCTCTCAACTTGTCGAAAAATACATGAGAAATTGGGCATGCGCCCATCTTCAAAACAGCATCATCTAACAAGAAGCTAATCAAAAGCCAAGCTTAACCATCTAATAAATAATTTCGAATCAATTACCATCTAATAAGATCGATCAAATCGAGCTTCATGATGGGGGTAGGGGCCGTGGAGGTTACCTCTCTTAGATCCGCATCGAATTCGCGGAGAGGGGGGGCAGAGATCTCCTGCGAATTCCTCGAACGAAACCGAGCTCGTTGATCTAGCAATCCACTTCAGCTCGATCGATTGGCAGAGATCCCAGGTCAGACAGCCGAGGGGGAAACGGAGGATGAAAAGGAGAACGAAATCAACGAGACGCTTACCCTACCAGATCATCATCCCGAGATAACGGTGATGGTTAAATAATTTTTTTTAAAAAAAATAAAATAAAATTCAACAGAGGTAGAAGAAGAAGAAGATCAGCAGATCAGAGGCTGCGAAGAGATGATGGGGGCGGGGGGAGGGGAGTCGGGAAAACCCTAAAGATTGGATCTTTGATTGATGCTTTGTTTTTTTGTTTTTTGTTCCGTACTCCGTGGATGTGGGGCCCAGGTGGGAAATTAAAAAGAAAAATATCACAGTTTTTTGGATTTCCATCAACCCATGGGCCGAATAGATGCATGTTGGGCTGGTGCCATTATTATTTTTAATTAGATGCATAATTTTATGATTTTTTTTTTTATTTAACTCGAATAAATGTATGCTCGAGCTTGAGAAACCCCGTTGGGGTTTGAAAACTATTTAGACCCAACTAGCAATACAATCACGATTCCTATTAAATTAGGAATTGGGTAATTCTAATCAATTAAGGATTCTCAATTACTTCATGTAGCGTCTTAAATGTCTACGATCATCAGATACTTGTCAAATTAGAAATCCTTGCGTGGACTACAAAGCTTTTAAGTTATAATCAAATTGTATGAGTTAAAGAAATTTGAACTTTTAATTTAAGAAAAAGGACATTGATAGGGATTAGGGTTTATCTCACCGGTGTTCATATTTTTAATCCAGAATTTTGATTTTCTATT